ACAGACAGACAGACAGACAGACAGACAGACAGATAGATAGATAGATAGATAGATAGATAGATAGATAGATAGATCAACGTTCAAAAGAACAGGATGTATCTGAAATAGAAAGCTCGTGTAACATACACTACTGTTTAAAAGTGTGGGGTCAGTAAGTTTCTTTTTTTTTTAAGAAAGAAAGAAAGAAAGAAAGAAAGAAAGAGAAAATGAAATGAAAAGAAATAAATGAATGCTTTTATTTAGCAAGGATGCATTAAATTGATCAAAAGTGACAGTACATACATTTAAATGTTACAAAAGCTTTCTTTTTCAGCTAAATGCTGTTCTTTTGAACTTGCTATTTATCAAAGAAACCTGAAAAATAAAATAAAATAAACTTTGATATAAAATAAGGAGGCAGATGGGAAATCTGCTTACCATCAGACAGGAAGTATTCCACCTCTCCATTGATGCCCTCATCACCATCTCTGGCTTGAAGCTTGTAGACCAGTGTGTTTGGTGGGGCATTAGCAGAGACCACACTCAGGTAGGGGAAAGGGACCATCATCCATTCTGGGGCATTATCATTGACATCCATCACCGTCAAATCCACCCTCACTGTATACCAGTCTGAACCTGTAAATGTAGAGATTTCCACACTCATATTCAGTTCACTCAAACTGTACAAAGAAATGTCTGTAATCATGAATGCATCAAATTACATAAAAACCAGAGAAGGCGAAGAACAACAACAACAAAGGCCATTTAAAAATAGCTGGAGCGGTTTATTTTAATTGGCGATTTTGTCTGGTATCTTCAGTATGTGACACAGGACACAAAACATAAGGCCATGCATTGGCCCTGCATGACTGTGTCATGATATGGGTTTCTTCACAGCATGTCCTCAGTGCAGTTTCAGAACCTCAGTTTCAAGTTTTGATGTTTATTTTATTTACAAAACATCATAGATGCAGAGACACATTTACATGCAAGTTGGAGAGAATGGTAGATACTAATGAGTGGAGTGTTTTCCTCATGGCAGCACTTGCTACGTTTAGCTGCTGCGTCGCCTCATTAAACCTTCCTTCTTTATCACAATCATCGCCTTGCAAAGTGACAGAACTAAAGACAGTTTCAGCACACATTTATGGACGGCATGGTAACATCATGGAAATGCATGAACGAAAAAAGCTAAAGGACAAAAAGAAAGAAAACCGTGTCAGTCATAAAACACGCCGGTGTCTTCTCCCCTTTTCGCAACTTTTCACTCTTGTTCAGTCTCCCCTTCAAACGCATCTCCCCATTCCCATTTATTTCTTTTTTCCCTCTTTCTAACGAAATTCCTCCCATGCTCTCACTTTTTCCCTGAGAGAGGTATAAATAGTGGGCTGTCTGTCCGAAGATGTGTGGAGTGACAGAGTCACAGGCTCTTTGATTCCCCAGGTGATTGGCCCTTTCATTGCCTGTGACAGCACACCTGCTGCCTTACACCCTGCTGGGGAGACACAGAAGAACAGCAAGAGAGAGAAAGATCGAGCGAGAGAAGTGGGAATTAGTGGGGGAGGCTTAGAAAAAGATTAACTTAAACTCCAGGTTTGGATCAATATAAAATCATTATTAATAATAGATTAATAGATAGAGGAGGTGGGCAAGAGAGAGACATATTAAGATCGATATATAAAGAGAGAGCCAGAGAAAGATAGAGAGTGAGGGCACAGAAAGAGAAAGCAAATCCCCCAGGTGTGTCAGGAGTGTGTCTCAGCTAATCCAAGCTCATAACATACTATAAGGTCACTCTATTTTGTGTATACAGCAAAAGCTACTCATAACAAAACACACCATTGACTCAACCACATCCAGAGCATTGTTCAAACTTTTGCACAGGTCATTATCTATAAGGGCACAATAGCCAATAGACAATTTCTTGCCACCAAAATGGCAAAAAGAGACAAACATCTGACAGTTTGACTTGTCGAGTCGGTGGTATGGCCACAATCTTATATCACAGTAACAGTATACATCACAATATAGTTATTTTTGCCAGAAATGCAACATACATTACATAACCAGGTGTAAAAAGTATTCAAAAATTATACTCAAGTGAAAGTACAGATACTCAGTGAAAATGTTGCACAATTAAAAGTACAAGTATCTGGCCAAAAGTATATTTGAGCAAAAGTAAAAAGTACAACTTTTTTTCAATTTTACTTGAGTAAAGTACAAATACTCCAAATAAATAAATAAGTAAATATATAAATGAGATTCACCATGTTGAACCATCTTCTCAATGGAAGGTGAAACTGCTTAAAATTAAATTGCATAAAATGTTTCATCAGACAGACATACAAATGTTTGGTTAAAGTGAGAAACAAAACACCTAGTTATACAACAATCATCTAGTGCTACAACAACAATTAAAATGCAGCAAAGTGGAACACAAAAAAATGCAGCTCTTAAAGGGGTACACCATCCTTTACACACTCATGCCATCCCATATGTATATGACACACTGTCTTCAGATGAAGAGTTTTAGGGGGAAAAACATCTCTCTGCATATAATGCAAGCATACAGGACGTCCAGAGATAATGCTTGAAAAACTACACAATTACACAGTGAAGACAACGGTAACACAAACAACACCTATTGATGAATCATTGTCTTCTTAAGCGAAATAATAGGCGTGTGTAAGAAAACATACAAATACTAATATTTTAAACTTTACCGGTGTTCACTTTGTGTGTTTTCTGAAGAGGTCCTGTACGCTTGCACTAAAAGTCTTTGTTTGTATTCATCTGAAGAAAGAAAGTCATAAACATCTGGGATGGCATGACGGTGAGTCAATCAGGAGAGAGTTTTCATTTTTGGATGGACTATCCATTTAAAGAGCCAGATGCGATGCAGAGGCCAGAGACATAGAACTAAAACATACAACATTAACTTTGTGAAAGACCACTTTTTGTGTTGTCTATTCAACACCGCTGTCTGTAACAATAATTCATCTTTTAATTGTTAATTTGGTGCATTTAGAGTTTTTTTTTTCTTAGCAAATACTGATATAATTATTTGCAACTAATTAGATTAATTAATGAGCAAAGCATGCAATTATTTAGATTAAAAACATAATTCACTAACAGTCCTAACTGTTACTCAGTAACACAATAACACTGGATGTTATTATGATCAAATCCATAATAAGTGCATCACTAAGATTTACAATTAACATTTTTTTTTTTTAGATTTGCTGTATTTAATTTTAAAAAGCAATAATTCCCACCACAACGTGAATTATCAAATCAGAGGAAGCTGTGCAATATATTGGCTGAATGCAAATAAAATCAGTAATGATAATGTAGGGTATCAGACCGAATCAGACAATCTAAGATTTAGTCAAAAACACAGTTGAAACACGAGGAGCCGAATTCCACAGAGGCCCAAGACACAGGATGTTCGTAAATCAGATCCTGGCGCCACAAGCCTGAACCAACTAGCAGCTTTGAGTAGCTCACAGCATTTAAACAAAAGAACACTTATTGACAATTCCAAGGAGATTGTCAATTTTGGGGGCAAGTAATCAAGATTAATGGTCAAAAGAGGTGCACAGCATGACCATCACATGGAATCCAGTGATAGCAATCACGAGCTCTTTGGATTGGCTTCCCCCACCTCGACGACAGAAAACAGACTGAAATTCCTTATGAGAGACCTCTTAACCTCTGGTCTTCAGCTAAATTGACCTGTTTCCCTTACATAATTTCAATATGGCAAACTTTTGAAACCAGAATTTTACCTGATGAAAGTTAAAACTGAAGCTGAAATGTGTGTGTTTGATGCATGAAAACAAACCTCATTGGTTTTCAGGTCAAAAGCACTTTTGAGCTTCTGTTTATAATGTGCATAAGATAAAATAAAAATGCAAAAAAAATGTAATGAGTACTTTTCAAGTTTAAATAAAATTGTAAGGAGTAAAAAGTGCTATTTTTCTTCAGAGATTTAATCAAGTAAAAGTACAAGTAGTGAGTTTAAATTGCAGATACAGATTTTAAGTACAGATACCCCAAAATAATAATTAAGTACAGTAATCAAGTAAAATTGCTCAAGTATTTTACACCCCTGTACATATCTATACATCCAAAACCATAAGATTCAGAGATTTAATCAAGTAAAAGTACAAGTAGTGAGTTTAAATTGCACTTAAATAAAGTACAGATACCCCAAAATAATAATTAAGTACAGTAATCAAGTAAAATTGCTCAAGTATTTTACACCCCTGTACATATCTATACATCCAAAACCATAAGACTCTTCCTACACTGTGGTAACCTTATGTTATTACATTAAGGAGTCTTGTTTATACCTTAAATAACCTTTAAATTGAGTTTTGTTGGTCTAATGCATTTAGGTTGATTAATTCAAAGAAGGCAAATAATTATTTTGACTTGTGTAAAATTAATTAACTTAGATGTTTTTATTTTTTAAGTAAACCCTTTTTAGTGTTTAATAACTGTTAAAAGGAAGAAAAAACTTCTCTTTTTCTCTAGTGTACTACAAATATTGTTGGCTTTTATGATAAATTGCTTGTGATGTTCCTCATTTTTAAGTCTCTTTTGATAAAAGCATCTGCCAAATGAATAGATGTAGCATGTAAACATAATGTCTATTTTTCAATATTGTAGCGGCATAAAAATGACAGTGTGGGTTGATGGGTGGGGCAGGGCTTGACGCAAAACAAAAAGTACGATTATCCATAACAAATGAATGATTAGTCTGGCATCAGTACAAAAACAGCTTAAAATTAAATAACTCTTTCAAAGAAAAAAAACCCCACATAAAATAGCAATATGACTGGATGAGCCACATTTGAAGCCGATATAAAACAGCCAATATATATTATGCACATTTCCACACCTATGACACATCTGTTGAATTTTATATAAATGCAGCAGGTTATGACATTCTGTATAATTATCTATTGCATGACAATCTATCGCATCATCAAAACTAAATTGCTTTCATAAATCACTTTCATTATAATCGTCTGTCAATACTGGAAGCCGACAGTTGTTTTCTGCTTCTGGACAGATTTTTTTTTAATCTGCACCTCTGGATAAACATGTTTTTAATTTTTTAAAGTCTCTCCTTTATAATCAACAATGCGGTCAATACTGGAAGTGTCTATCTACAATACAGCCTATAGTTTTCTGCATCTGGTTAGATTTTTTCTTTTTTTCTTTATTAAACTGCACTGCAGATCTCCTTTACCAGCTGACACAATTTTAACATTATACCGCTCAAACCAAGTGAAAACTTGTTCACATTCTGCACCAAATTTATAGCAACTTGTTTTTAGAGCATATATTTTGACATGAAGTGCATTAACCCTCACACTCTCTTTGCTAAAAAGCAGAACTGTTTTGTTCACCCTAAATGCTCCCATACGCACAGTGAGAGCATCAGGGTTCCTGTATGAGGAGCTGCTTAACATGACCTGCCAGTCAGAAGCGGTCCCGGTGTGAGAGATGGATAGAGACACTGAGAGCCCTGGGGGGAGAAAGAGGAGGCTGGTGAAGGCCTCTCTGGAGCTTTGATGGATGGATGAATGCCATGCCAGAGCCAGAGGGCCATCAGCGATCGTGCAAAACTGATAAACATCACAGCCTCCTTCTGAATAAAGTTCCTAAACTTCCTTTCTGCTCACTGTACCGAAACCGCAGCCGGTGGTTCCAGATTCATACAGCGAAAGACATTGCATTAGACATTTAAAGGAAATTTTTCACTTGGATGATGGGAAAACGTTTGAGGAATGATGGAGAAAATAAAAAAGGTGGATCTGTATGAGAGAAAGAGAGAGTGAAAGAGAAACTCACTAACAAGGCTGAAAACAGAAGCATGTAATAAGCGGAAAAGCTGAAAAGAAACAATGTGGGATTAAGACAATATACAACACCATTGGAACGGCCTTGAGGTTGTTATGGAAACGGAATTAAAACCAGACTTGGACAACAGGAAAGAGAAAATACAAGCTGCCAAATGACTGCATAAATCAATGTCATTAAAAGACAAGAATAGTGGTAAAAATAGCTGTGGATCAAAGCCACGGCGGAAGAAAATTAATCAGCATTTAGAGACAGGAAAAAGGCCAACAAAAGCATTTAGCTGCAATGTTTCCCTGTCTGCTTTATGTTACTGAAGCACAAGCTCAATCTGCAAGTTCATACAGTAACAACATACCTACACATCAAAGACCCCCACAGAGGGGTCTTTTATATCCCTAGATTATCCTTCATAGCTACTTATTAAAATGCATATTATTACACAGCTATTAACAAAACAAATAAAGGTCAATGATGTGAAGCTAAATATATTTTTAAATGTATGTATTTATTTATTTTTGGCACAAAATCCAAAATAACTTGACTCAATCGTTTCCAAATGACTTGATTCAATCACATGGAACAACTGTCCATGAATGAACCATGTTCATCCAAGTTATTTTTTTTGAGTGTGTCTGAAACTATTGAGTTATACAAAAATTAAAAATGTAATTAATACAAAAAAAATAATAAATTGACTTGCAACATAAGGTTGTATTAATTTAAAAACATTCCCCCCAGTACAGAATGTTAACAGGAATTAGAAGTGAGAAAAACAGAAAAATATAAGCTTTGAAAACACCACTGAAAATACAACAGGAGAGATGTGAATGAGGATTTAGGGAGAGAAACAACAGTGAGAGAGAAAGTGTAGCCTAGTCCAGTCCAAATATTCATGGGATTCTGTTTATTAATGTCTGTTGCCCTTTACACATTGTGGAAAAAGAATAAAAATAAATAAAGAAATAAATAAAACTAAAAGATCTATTTTCAAAGAAAGTGAAAACGAAATGAAACGAAACAAAATGAAATGAAATAAAATAAGATATAATAAAATAAAATGACCTTTGCCAAAAGTAAAATTGACAGACATATTATGTAGTGCAACCTCTGGGTGAACATGTTGTCAATTTCTAAAATGTTGATATTTTGTGGTTATTATGGTAAAAAGAAAAAAGTCAAGGTGGTGTTACAATACAAAGAAAAACACGATTAAAAGCTGAATTTTTTTCAAAATCAAAAATGTTGGCAAGTAGTTTGACAATGTTTTATAAAAGTTTATATATATATATATATATATATATATATATATATGCATTTTTTTTATTTTATAATGTATATAAAAAAAAT